TTTGAACATCTTTGTCGAATGATTTGTGCAATAATCAGATTTTTATTTTACTTCCACAAAATGCAAGTTCTGAATTAAATATTACTGAAACGGGACGGCTTGTTGTCGGATTTAAAAGCCGCCGCTTGTTAATTACACCGTCATTTTTGAAGTCAGGCAGTCCAAATGACAGCGGAGAGGCCCGCTGGCTGTTGCACACATGCGCAGTGGGCATTGTTTTACCCCAACAATCCGAATGGCTGTGCACATGCACGTCAATCGGAATGAAGAACGGAATAAACCACCTCTCTCAATCGGATTGAAATTTCAATCCGATCGGGCCGAATCGGATCAGAATATTCTGATTGACATGTTTACATGCAGAATTTTCAATCTGAATGGGCATTCAATCCGATTAAATATGCGCATGTAAACGTGGCTACAGACATGGGCAAACAGAGGAGCAGGTGCTGGAAATACTATTGTGGAAAGACACCCCTACATGTGATGTACCACCGACAGGACATAGGTCAACTAAGACAAACAAAAACTGAGTTTTAGGTAGCATTAGGTTGCGGTTTCTGAACAGAAACATTAGTAGAAATGTTAGCTTTATCTATGCACTCTTCTGAATAAAGATTTCTGAAGTTTATCCTGGAATATGCCCATCTCTCTCCAAGTTAAATGGTCACAGGCCTAAGTGCTCGATTAACCAATGGTACTTCTGAGGCCTTGACTCCCCCAAAAAACCTCTATTTCCTCTTTGATTCCTTGATATTTTGAATATTATATATAAATGTGTATACTGGTCTCATAATGTTTAAATGTCTCCTTAAACCATGAAACAGTCAGAATTGTATATTTTTGTAAACAGACCTCATAAACCCTAATTGTCTCCATAAACCACCAGGTTGTCAAGTCCTCATAAGCCTGTGGAAATTCATATGTGAAATGTATGTATGTTCTGATATGTTTTTCTTAATTTTGAAGTGAGACTTTTCTTCTATGGGTAAAATCAAAATTTTTGACAGATTTTTCGTGTTCACCAGATGCAGGGAAAGGTGTGTCCTCATAAACCACCAAAATGTCATAGTGGCTTCATAAACCATATCTACATGTATGTGTGTGTGTGTGTGTGTGTGTGTGTGTGTGTGTGTGTGCTTATGCCCTCCTCCAGCTAGGTGTGTGTGTGTGTGTGGGGGGGGGGGGGGGGGGTGTTTATGTCCTCCTCCAGCTAGGTTCCTCCAGCTAGGTGTGTGTGTGTGTGTGTGTGTGTGTGTGTGTGTGTGTGTGTGTGTGTGTGTGCTTATGCCCTCCTCCAGCTAGGTGTGTGTGTTTATGTCCTCCTCCAGCTAGGTGTGTGTGTGTGTGTGTGTGTGTGTGTGTGTGTGTGTGTGTGTCCTCCTCTAGCTAGGGGTGTGTGTGTGTGAGTGTGAGTGTGTGTGTGTGTATGCCCTCCTCTAGCTAGGGGTGTGTGTGTGTGTGTGTGTGTGTGTGTGTGTGTGTGTGTGTGTGTGTGTGTGTGTGTGTGTGTGTGTGTGTGTATGTGTGTGTGTGTGTGTGTGTGTGTGTGTGTGTGTGTGTGTCCTTTCCCAGTTAGGTCTGGTGTCCTCTCCTGCTCCTCCTCCCTGATTAGTTATCACTTTCACCTGGTTCTCTCCCCTCACACCTGCAGCTCATCACCCTCCCATTACGCCCCAGCGTATATAAGCCCTGTCTTGTCTCAGTGTCTTGTCGGTCCATTGTTTGTATTCTGTCAGTCTCGTGTCTCGTCTTGGATTATTTGGGTTTTTGGTCTTCTCGTGTTCTCTAGGGTTTTGGTTTTCCAGATTGTTATCTGGATTTTGGCTCCCAGCCTTTGGACTTATTTTTGCTCTCCTTAAAATAAAGGATTTTTTTCTTATTCGTCATCTCTGCCTCGTGTCATCCTGGGTACAGCATTTTGGGTCCTACAAACCTCGTATCGTGACAGAACCTTGCTTAACTTGGTGGTGGAAGAGCCATTTTTAAGAGCTAAAACACAAAATCTAATAAAAGAAAGTGAAATCACATTAAAAATTCTTATTTTATTCATTAATACATCTTGAATACAACTTGTTTTTGTCCACTGTGTTGGTTTGTGATAAGATCCTTTATACTGTCATTCTCCTTTATTTGTTGACAGTTGAGATGGAGAATAAGTGTTCTCTGGTTCAAACAAGGACACGTTAGATAACGGAAAAATGAGCGGGCATCGTGACTTGACACACACCTGCAAGGTTATACAGCTCAACCATAGCATACCATGCCAAGTTTATTTATAGCGCACATTTAAAAACAGCATGGAAGCTGACCAAAGTGCTGTATGGATAAAAATTAAAACAATATTAAAAGCAAAAACACTGTCAATAGTAACAATATATAGCAAAGAAGATGATCACAGTCACCAAAAAGAATGCATAATAATAAAAAGTCAGGGGTTTGGAAACACCAGGTAATAAAAGTATGCCTCGTACGCAATGACTCGTACGGAGGAGGGATGGTACCCGCCTCATAGAGAGAGGAAGAGCATTCCAGAGGAACGGAGCAGCATACACCAAAGCTCCTCCCGTGTTTTATATTTCATGGTGGAAACGTGAATCAGCAAATGATCGGCAGACCTCAATCCCCCAGTTTGGCACTTAACTAACTGCCAGGTCAGACAGGTAAGCTGGTGCCAGAACATTCAAGGCCTTAAAAACAAAGATCAGAATCTTGAAAGTCACCATGACGTTTATGGGTAGCCAATGGAGATGCAACAGCACAGGGGTGATATGATCAGGTCTAGAGGTGTTGGTCAAGAACCTGGCTGCTGTGTTTTGGAGCCTGTTAACAGCAGAGGCTGGTATGCCAAATAAGATGGAATTTGCATAATCCAAGTGGGAAATGATAAAAGTATGAAATACAGATTCCAGATGTGCCAGTTTCAGGTTTGGTGTTAAGCAAACCAGTCAGTGCAGCTGGAAAAAACAAGATCTGGTCACTGCATTAATCTGAGGGACCATCAGAAGGTGGACATCTAGTTTGACCCCTAGGTTGGGAGAGTATCCAAATCAGAGAGTGAGTGTGGTGTCTTTTGGGGCCATGAGGATTGCCTCAGATTTGGGAGTCCTTCAGCTTCAGAAAGTAGTCAGCCAGCCAGTCCCTCACTTCAGCCAAACATTGGTCCAGAAGTGAGAGAGCACCTAGTTGGTTCAAAGCCAGGTAGGTCTGGACAATCATCCACATAGAGATGGTAGTCCAGGCCATGTTTCCTCAGGATAGAACCCAGGATGTAAGGAAGAATGTAAATGCAAACCAGGAGAGCCCCAAGCACAGATCCCTGTGGCACTCCCCAGGGGAGAGGGAGACATGGAGACAAGTGTTGTGTCTACCACTAGAGAGCAGTAGAGGATAAGAAGAAGTGAGATAAGATCAATCAACCAATCAATCAATCAATCAATCAAATTTTATTTTATTTAATTTATTAAGTGCTTTTCAAAAAAAAAACACCTAGATTTAGAACAAAAATTAAGGAATGGAATATATCTGTAAATGGTGTTAAATTATGGAATAACCTTAAAAGGGAAATGAAAAAAACTGTCATTTAATATATTAAAAAAATGTACCAAACTGAGTGTACTAAATAATTATGAAAATGTTAATTAAATCAATGAGCATGATCGCACTGGAATTTAGAACAGGAAAAAGTTTAAAATGATTCTGTATGTGTGTTTGACGAATGGAAATTGCATATAAATTGATTATTTCTTCTGGAAAAGGGGGCAGAATTTATAAGACGTTTTTCTTCATTCTGCTCCTTTTCGTTTAGATTTGATTATTTGTTATGTATTTCTTATTGTTTATTTGCTTTATTTGTTTTTATTTTGAATAAAATAAAAAATAAAAAAAATATATAGATTTTTTATTTTAAGTGGAGCGAGCAGGTCCAGAGCGGATTTCAGTCTACTGTTAAAATCATTGACAGTAAAATCACAGGAGGCAGTTACCAAAGTGGGAGGGATCTTTCTAAAAACTTCAAGAAAACCAGCAGCGACTTCAGGGGTGAGAAGACGCTTCCTTACAGTTCTCACAGAGGGTTCCAGCTGGATTAAACTGGAGATGCCAAAAAAACACACAGTAGTGGTCAGAGACAGCCACGTCAACAACAGAGGACTCACAGGTGAACAGGCCATGGGTGATGACCAAGTCCAGGGTGTGTCCTCTGTTGTGAGTTGGCTGTGTGACATGTTGACTTAAATCCATGTAAATCAGAATGTTTAAAAACTCCTTTGAAAAAGGATCAGAAGGATTATCTATATGTAGATTAAAATCACTGGCTAAAATGATCCTTTCAAAGGAGTTGTGCAGGATTGATAAAAACTCTAAAAATTCTTGAATAAAAATGGTACTTTGTTTAGGAGGCTGATAAACGGTGACACATAAAACCTGAGGAGAGCTAAAAACTGCTGCTGTATATTCAAAAGTGGTAAAATGATCAAATAAAACAGGTTTGGCAGAAAGTATTGATGAACTAATAAAAGTAGTACCGCCTCCCCGTTTGCTACTCCTCGTTGAAAAATAAATAAGATGGATGCCTGATTCTGCTACATGTGATTCAGGTTTGAACAAAGCTTGGAAAAGGAATTCTTGACTTCTCGTGACACTTTGACATAACGGTCAACCCCAGCAAAGAGCAGTCACAAAACGTAACCTTAAAAACTATGACATGCAGTAGCAAAACCACAACAGATGCAGCTTCTTTAAATGTTTTAATGACTTTGATGATCAAACTTGTACCCTTAAGTTCATAATGATCAAAAACAACCGTTTCTCTTCTACTTTACTTTCAGCCACTTCACAAGGTTCAACACCTGTTTGATGATTTCATCAAGCCATAATCAGATTAAACCGAGAAGGAGAAATGTACAATGGCATTTATTTTCTTAGATTTATTCATTTTTTTTAATGAAAAAGAAAGAACATGATGTGTTCAAAGTCAGTTGGCTACATTTCTACCTTACCAGAAATCATGTAGGTGACCTGCTGACACTGGCTGTTGGATGCAGAGAGGGGAGAGCCTGGCAAGATGGTGACTCTTGCTATGTCTGCCCCCAAAACACTTGCAACCCTGTTACGGAAATCATATCTGGACAAAAGTGGAAAAAAAGGGGGTTTATTTTTATAGGATGATGCATTTGTATCAAATTAAGACAAAGTTGCAGCTACAAGTTGCAATTTTAGCAGCAGCTTAACCTAAAATTGATATTTATAGAAATGCATTTTCAAGTAGCCACCGTCTACTAAATGCATCTTCAAACATGTGCTTTCTGCCTGTCTCTAAACTCTACAGGCTGTCCACTAAGGTCTGATCCTTGTCTGTCATTCATGACTGGTCACATGGTATGCGCTGCTAATCATCACAGAGATAAGATGCTGTTTTGATTCTGTTTAGTGTGACAGTGCAGATGTGTTCCCAAACCTACACCAGCAGCTCATTCTCATTCCTCTGTGTGACGGATAGAAGATTGTATGGATCAGAGGTGAAAGTGGAACGATAAAAGGGAGAAAATATTAATAATGAATATATTATGAGATCTCAGTCTTATTTTCCTTCCAGGAAGAAAAGAAACATTCTTTAAGAATTGCTGAGAACTCATTTTGGAGACCAGGGGTGGACTGGCCTATCTGGCATTCTGGCACTGTTCCGGTGGGCTGCTTAGCCAAGTAGCCTACTTGCCCAGCTTGGGCCAACACCATAGTTGGTCTGCAGAACATCAGCTACACGGTAACCCGAAGCTAACAGAGTTTTTCCAGGCGTTTGTAGCAATAAAAACACGGTAGAGCGATGACGTAGGAGGTGTTTTACCGCGCTAGCATGTAGCTAATGTCCCGCTTATCTCCGCCCGTGGAGAATGAGCTGATCTGGAAGGCCAGGGCTCCCAGTCGCAGCGGTCTGGCCCTGCTTGTAATTTAACAGTCCATGGTAGATCTCACATTCAGCCTAGAGACGAGTCTGGGGGTGGCAACACCCCCCACCCCCACCGCTCTCCCAATGGGGAGAGCCGACTTTTCGTAAAAATGCCAGGGCCGAATTTTGGTCCCAGTCCACCCCTGCCAGAGACACGAGTTATTGAGAAAGTATTCATGCCATTCTTTGTATGACAACCCACCTTTTTTCTAAACTCGTGTGTTCCTGTTCATGGTTGCAGGGAACGTGTTCTTACCTTTGGCAGTGATAGGTGACTGGTCAGAAACCAGAGATGGGGATAGGAGTCCGAGATTTGGACTTAAGTATCACTTAAATTTCAAAAACAAATGCTTGAGAATTGACTTGGACTCACTCTCCAAACACTTAAACTTTAATTTGGACTTGACCCTCCAAAATGTGAGACTTGGACTTTCATTTTAATCACTTTAAAACTTGACTTGTTCTTGCCCTCCAAAGACTTGAGACATGACTTAAAATCTCAATCAAAATACTTGACTTGTACTCTGCCACTTAAGACTTGAATAATGACTTGGACTGATTCTCTAAATACTTGTCCCCAAAGACTTTAGGCTTGACTGGAATCTCCCTAAGCATGACTGAGGCCCTGTCCACACGTAGCCGGGGATCTGCCAAAACGTAGATATTTTTCTACGTTTTGGCCTGTCATCCACACAAAAACGGATCTTTTTAAAAACTCCGGCCAAAGTGAAGATCTGCGTTTTCTCCGTTTTGGGTGTCTGCGTGTGGACGGACAAAACTGGAGTTTTAAGGTCCGCAGCGTCACTTTCCGCAGCAAAAAAATGCTGACATCACGTGCGCGACCTGTGTTTACACTAGCCGGCATCATGGAAGCCTTCAGAGCTAAGCTCTGTCACTACCTGATCCATCAATTGTCCAAGCGCTTTCTGCTTGTTGGTTTTTGCAAGCGAAATTACTGCTCCTTGCGGAAGACCACAGACGAAGGACGAGGTTAAGAACGGGGGAAGTACTGCCGCCTACAGGTCTGGCATGTCCTTAACAACGTATTTATCCGGGTACGTGTGGATAGAGTTTGTTTTTAAAACGCGGTGGTGTGGATGCAAGTTTTTGGAGGGGCGGATATTCGTTTTTAAAAAACCCCGGCTACGTGTGGACTAGGCCTTTGACTTGAACACTTACTTGAAATGTGACTTGAATTTGCCCTCTAAAAACCTGAGACTTGACTTAGGCCTCCTTGAGAACACCTTATCCAGCAAGTTTTAGTCATTTCCCTGTTTCAACACACCTGGCTAAGTTACTTAATTACCTGTTCAGTAAGCCATCAAACTCTGAAGAAGCCTGTTAATCACACACTAATTAAAATCAGGTTTGTTGGAGAAGGAAAAAGAACCGACACACCCTGGGTAGGGACTCGAGGCACTGGGTTGTGCACTCCTGGGGCTTTCTAATAATAATATAATGTATGTATTAAGTGCTTTCCAATCAAAGTGCTGCACAACTGCCAGGATCAATCATAAAATCATGTATTACATAGAAAACGAACATTTAATAGAATTAACATTACAGATAAATGTGTACATAGTCCACTCCAGAATAAAATAGGTGTTACCTAAAGTGTAAAAATGACCTCAAGAGAAAAACATGATGAACCATTAGATGTGTAAATACATTAGTGTTTCTTCAGCTTTGCTTTAAAAACGTCAACAGTCATTGCTTGCCTGATGGTCAGAGGGAAGCTCCTCCAAACTGCTGGTGCACTCGGAACAGCCAGAAGTCCAGTGCCCAGAGATCTCAAAACCATGGCAAGATACACGATTTACCAGCTCATTTAAATACCCAGGAACAGTACCATGTACTACTTTGAATTTTAAAAGCAATACTTTCATCTTTCTACCCAAAGACCTGAGACTTGACTTAGACACGTCCCCCAAACACTTGAATCTTGACTTAGACTCTTCTTCTGAAGACTTGAAACTTCACTTAAACTTTTCCTCCTAAGACTTTAAACAGGAGTTAGACTCTTCCTCCAAAGACCTGAAACTTGAATTTGACTTGCACTCAGAAACACGAGAATGAATAGGACACTCCCCGATGATCTGCCGGACTTGGACATGCTCTCCAAAGACTTGACTTGAATTCAGCCGTTAAAATCTTGACATAATTTGAATTTGATTTTTCTCTTCATTTTGTTTTGCTTCAATTGCGTAGCAAGAGGAACCAATACAGTAACCAGCTTTATAATGTGACACCTGTATTGTAGTTTTCATTAAGTAGGAATAAAATGTGAACACTTGAGTTTAAAACTTTCCAAAATTTAAAAACGGCAAATGAAACTGAAATGTGGAGAAACACTCATTTGAGTCCGAATGTCTACAAGAGTTTTTAAAGCATTTGTTTGTAAAAACGTGTGACACTGACTACACTTTATCATGTAACTGCCACGGAGTTAAAGGAGTCAAGGCTTGAATGTGTTACTCCAAAGAGATCCAGATTGCAAGAACTGTGTGAAACAGCACACGAAGGATGCTTTAACAAAATCTTGAAGACCCTGCATCTTTAAATCTTAAACAGAGTCACTTGGTGCTGATTTTTGTATGGTTACAAGTTTATATGTGTTTAAGGATTGTACATGGAGGCCAAGGTCAAGATAAAAATGAATCAGTGTGTATTTCCTAACTCACCGGCTAAAAGCATTAACATTGGGAAAGGTCTGTGTTGCTGACTGAGACTCTGGGAGGATGTCTGCACACGCAAGGATGCTGCCTCCACTCCTCAGCACAAGAGATCTGTAGACAACTGAAAACACACACACTGTCAGCCACGAGCTCCCATAAAGTCAAAGTCATTCAAAGTGGCAGATGTGATAAAGAGGAAATTAGAAGGCACTAAAATGTTTATTGCTGGGAAATGCTAAACCAAAAAGACTGGTTACACCTTTACAGTTTAAACAGAGATATAATTCCTTTAGAGTCACCTGTGTTGTCTCCAGAAAGCTGAATGACTGAGTCAGTGTAGAGCTCCCTCCCAACCAGGCTGACGTTGCCTTGTCTGGCTGATACATCCCCCATCACACAACCCAACTGGTTTACCAATGAGCAGCTAGAGCTCTGAAAGTAGAATAGAAAAAGTTAAAGCGTCAACATGCAACACACACAATACATAGACAGTGGCCGACAGCAGCCCTATGTTAATCTTTTAAAAGGAAGGTGTGTTCATGAACACTCAATGTGTTTGGAAAAACTGCAACATGACAGCCATAACTGTGGAGGTAGTTTTGTTTTCTTTTACTTGTACTTCTACTGATTTTTAAAAGTGTGATTCGCTTATTTAATCAGTACATTTGCAGTGGTCTCTAGTAGGAATGAATGTCTTGTAAGTTGTTCTTTGTGGGGGAATATGCCGGTGCACCATTTCCAGGAAACTAGTAAGTAAGTAAGTAAAGTTTATTTATATAGCACCTTTCACAGATATAAATCACAAAGCGCTGTACAACATGAGTAAAATCAGGGCAAATACCTCAAACCAATAAAAACATCATAAACACAATAGCAGTGACAACAATAGTAACCAAAATCAGGAGTAAAAACAAAGTGAAGGTGTGAACAAGAACAAAGCCATCTTTTAGAATATTTAGCGGGGGAAAGCCTGGATGAAAAGGTGAGTTTTAAGATGTTTTTTGAAGACTTCTACAGATTTCAAGAGACGGAGATTTAAAGGCAGACTGTTCCAAAGTCGGGGGGCAATAGACTGAAAGGCCCTGTCCCCTTTGGTTTTTAGTCTGGTTCGAGGAACAGCCAGGAGGTTTTCAGATGTGGATCGGAGGTTCCGTGAAGTGGTGTGTGGGGATAAAAGCTCAGATAAATAGTTTGGAGCCTGGTTGTTAAGAGCTCTATAGGTCAGGACTAAAACTTTAAACTGAATTCTATATTCTACCGGGAGCCAGTGGAGGGACTGTAAAACTGGGGTGATGTGAGCTCGTCTGCTGGATTTGGTTAGGAGTCTGGCTGCTGCATTTTGCATGGCTTGAAGGCGTGAGAGGGAGGATTTGCTGAGACCAGTAAAAAGAGCGTTACAGTAGTCTAAGCGTGATGACACAAAGGCATGGATGATTTTTTCCAGATCTGCAGTAGAAACCAGTTTACGGACTTTGGAAATGTTTCTCAGTTGGAAGAAACAAGAGCAGGGGATGGTTTTGACGTGTGAGTCTAAACTTAAAACCGGATCAAAAATAACTCCCAGGTTTCTAATGTTGGCCTTGGCTGATGGGCAAAAAGAGGCAATTTCCACTTGTAGTGACCCACATCACAGATGAGCTTCTATTACTTTCTAATATTTGGACATCTCGCCTTGGATTGGATAACAGCAACGCGACTCTGCCACTCACTTGCAACGCTGATGTTTTATCTCCACAAATAACCCAAGCCTGGAAGAGCTTCTGCCATGTGGTGAGGTTGCTAATGCTAACGGTTAGCTCATAATAGTCTGGAAATTCAAACGTAGTGAGTTAAGATCTGGTGAGTCCATAAATCTTAAGCGACAGTGTGATGTAGATCTGTCAGGCTTTTCAAATCCTAGAGTTTCACCATCTAATTTCTATCAGAAGCTAATGCAGGAGGTAGGTGTAGGAGACTATTTCCATGTTCAGCCTGCATGAAAAACTCAGTGACTGATTCTAATCAAAAACAATCATTAAAAAATGGGTTTTCAGTGTTGCACGCCTTTAAAATTACTGTTCTGTATCTTGTCATTATTATTCTCATTTCCATATTATGCATCATGCCACACTTTATCCGTGTTGTACATAAATATTTAGATGACATCTTTTATTTGTCAGTTTATTTTTAAAAAGTGTCTTTTGGCTTGCTGTGACCTCCCCTGACTTTGTGTGTGTGTGTGTGTGTGTGTGTGTGTGTGTGTGTGTGTGTGTGTGTGTGTGTGTGTGTGTTTTGAGGTTGGGAGCCTAAGTCACACCCATCTACTTTCAGACCATGGGTCCCCGGAAGACAGAAAAAATCAATGCAAGTCAACGAGGCTAAAAACACTTTTTTCTAATTCCACTTGTTTTGTGCCATGGATTTCACATATAATGTCCATGAATTTAAAAGACACATTTTGATACCAAGAATGCACTTATTCTCAAACCGGGGGAAACGCTATTTTAGGTTTTGTGTGAAAATCCAGTCCAGGACTACAAATGCGCTTCACGAAAGTGACGTCATCAAACCAGACTTGGAAAACAACTGAGTGAAAATGGCTGTAAGTTCATCAAACTTCCCACAGGAGGAAAGAACCACCATAAATCTGGTGATTCTGTTAGTAGCAGCTACGTTAGGGGAGAGGAGATTATGTGGTGACGTCACATATGTGACGTGCCTATTTCTGGTGTGTAGTCATGCTAATTACAAACTTTTACAAGCTGATAAATCTCTACGTACGTGACTGGTGTGGTCGAAACACCCATCATTACTTTTCAGTTAAATTGCAGTACAACATAAGTGCGATCCAGGGCGTAAGGCTAAGCGGATTAGAAAATAGTGTTTTTAGCCTAATTGACTTGCATTCTTTTTAATGTTCTTCTGGGGACCCATGAGCCGATCGGAAAGGGTGGAGACTTAGGCTCCCTATAGCAATCACAATTTGCACTGCAACTCTTCTTGCTCTATAAAGGAATCCTTTTTGCAAGTATTTCTGTTCAAAAGTTACTAAATCCTGTTTCTCAGAGAAAAGCATTGTTGGAGTTGTACTTTAAAGACTCACTCAAAACAGAAATCCATGGGCAAACCTGACAATGACAACTACGGAAAAGGTAATAAAAAATGTTTGAATCAACTTCCACATGATTTTGGAGGCTGGACCTGTTTCACAGAAATCCATTTTGGTCTTGGCTGCTTTCAGGTTATCCTGTTGCTTATTGACGTAAACTAGGGTCATACAGGAAGTTACTGTTGTGGTAACACTATATACCTAGAAATACACTCTAAAAGCCAAATTTGTCACTTGGCAAGAACTTGTGGAATAATTCTAACAGACGCTATTTCTGCTCAAGCTGGAGATTTTCATCAAGTGATGCATAAACAAGCTATTTAAAAGAAAAATTACATGAAACTGGTCTCACCGATGATGTCATGTTAAAAGGGTTGAATGTGCTTCCCACTCGGTTGCATAAGTTGCTGACATCTGCCCGGCCAGTTGCAATGAACAAAGAGGCAGTGATTATCTGTAAGCAGGAAAGCAAATATAGGTGTGTGCAGAGATATGTTTGAATCTGAATATTTTGATATTGGGCACATGAGTAAAGAATACATTTCATTTTCAGCATCCTGCTGAGTGGTTTCCAAACTGTTTTTGCCAGGCTTCTGATCAAAGTGTTCTACTACTGTGATGACACCCCCCACCCACCGCCCCGTCACTTGTTATAGTTTCCATTCAAGCCCAGTCCTCTCAGTCTACGTAACTGTTTCCATCATTTAGTGGAAGGAGCCTCTTGGCTGCCTTTAGCTTGGTTTTGGTCGTTTATGTTGTATTTAGTAATGGTTTAACTTGCTAAAAACAACAATGTAAGTTCCATGTGCACATCCTGCATCACCAATTTATTGATGATAGAGCTGTTCACCACAAAAAGTGTGGTGCACATTTTTGTCATTAACCAAAATGGGGGCTTGTCCGGGATATTTTTGTAAAACTTTAGATTTAAACAACTGAAGTTGTATTTTATGCAAATAACATACTTACATTTGGATTTGCAGAACTGAGATCCGTCTCCAATGTAACATCACCTCTGCTTCCATCAGGAAACATTTGCTGAAGCTTGATGGGAAAAAAAATCATGAAATGTGAGTGAACATTTTGACACACTGCTGTCAAACTTTCACGGTAAAAATGTCCACTAAGCTAAAAGACTTTGTTGCTCAACTTAAACATCCAGTTAAATTGGACTATTAGTGCGTAATGCAAACGTTCAAGCTATTCCTCTCATTGTGTGAGTCTGTCTCAGTTTGCCTGTGTGACACCAGCTTGAATAACCACTGATTATTTCTTACTGAAAACAATTTCTCAATGATGTTTCTTTAAAGCTCTAGATGCAGTGCAATACCAAGTGTGGGGTTTCTGGAGTGCAGCTGACAAAGACAGCTGTTTCTCTGGTAAGCCTCAGTGAGCCTGTATTCACCATCAGCAGACAGATTGATGCTAAACTAAGCTAACAATCTCCTCCCTGCTTCCAATAACAATTGGAAGGATGGCAATGCTGTATGCATGCAGCAAGCATACTTGTTTTGGTCATGTTTTTGTGTCAGCTCAGCGTTGACAAGAAAGACTTTTTTTTTCTAAGAAAACCAATTTCTGCCTCATTCTCTTGACATAAAGATGTTTAATAGTGTGTGTCCCTTTGGCTGAAACCTTACTTTAACAAGGGGTCAGGCAGGAAAAAGACAATTATTACTACAGAGATAATACCAGATTGTGATAACTTGTTTTCATTCTTTGAAAAGAAACACTTTATTTTTCTAAACACTTTAACATAGGAAACACTTTGTTTATGTGTTTGAATAAATATCACGTGAGACAGGGGCTTCTTGTTGGGACATCTCAAAAGTGTTTCAGTGTGTTTGAAAAAGTTCAAGTGCAACTTAAACAAAACTGGCTTTGCTTAAAGTGTCCAGTGACATCATGATGGCTGCAGACAACGGAGAGTTTACAGTCTAAGTATTGTTAGATCTTTCTGCAGCATTTGACACAGTTGATTAAAACGCCTTATTTAAAATTCTCTGGAACTGTTCTAGACTGGTTCCGATTGTACCACTCTAACAGAGATTACAGTGTCTGCATAAACCAAATCATGTCAGATTCTACCGATCTGTTTTGTGGGGTACCCCAATGCTCTGTTTTGGGTCCACTCTTGTTTCTACTATAAAAACTCCCTCATGGTAAGATAATTGATTCGTTTCATAATGTTTCCTATCACCTACATGCAGATGACATTCAGCTGGACTGCTCCTTTAAGGATTCTGTGTTCTATAAACTCTCTGCATTACTAGATTATCTATCAGCTATCACCAGCTGACTAGAAGATAACTTAAAAAGACTGAATGTCTGATCATTGCCTCTGAGAGCACGGTTTCTCTGATTAGTCAACAACTTGGTCTTTTTGCTTCTGCCATTAAGACAAATTAGAGGAATTTGGGTGTTGTTTTTGACCTATCCATTTCTGGAAGGCCATTCAAAAACACTGGGCCAAAACAGTTTTCATCACTTAAGAAATATCCCTAAACTGCAAAGTTTGGTGTCAAAACATGAACTTGAAATGATTATCCATGCCTTTATCTCCTCCCGTTGAGATTACACTCTTCACATATATTAACAAAAAAGCCCTTGAACACCTTCAATTGGTCCAGAACTCTGCAGCAAGGCTCCAGAATAGAGCAAACACAAGGGCTGATGTGGCAGAATGGAGTGGATTGCTCCACCTGCCGCCACTTCCCCTTGGTTACGGAGCCAGCCAATCAGGGCCCTGGTGGCTTCCTCTAAAAGGCTCATCAAGGCAGGTGCATTTAGGCTTCTGAGTGCTGTTACTCCATCAGGCTTTTGATTACTGCTCCCTACAACTACTTAGAATCCTGACTATAACTTTCAGGGCTCTAGATGCACATTCCTCCCTATATTACTGAACTGTTAAAGACTTATGCTCCAACCCAAGCCCTAAGATCCACAAATCAGAACCTTCAAGAAGTTCCAAAGACCAGATATAAAAGTCGAGGTGATCGCTCTTTCCAGGCTGTTGTACTCTGACTTTGGAATACTTCCTTTATCCTTAAGTAGTACTGACAGTCTCAACATCTTTAAAAAGACAGCCGAAGACCCTTTTATTTAAAGCTGCTCTTACCTAAATCTTTTTTAGTTTGAACTAAAATTTAGAATATTTTTAGTGATATTTATGGTCATTTAATACTTTCATGACTTTGTATTTTCTGTTTTTAATTTCTGAGTTGTTTTGAAGATCATTCTGATTTTAAGAGTAAGATTTTGTTGTTCTCTGTGAAGCACTTTTGTGATTCTCTTTCTGTGATAAGTGCTATATAAATAACATTTACTTACTTTCTTACAAACAAGCAAGCTTAAATGCATCGCCAGATATTTTCTCAGTGTTCAACAAGTATCTGAATTCATCAAAGTAGGTGACTCCAACATGTTCTTTGTTGTGGTTCCTACCAGTCTGACTGTCCCCATCACTGCACCACTGAAAACAGCCTTGGCGATGGTCCATTGTCCATCGGTGTTTCTTTCTGCTAAGATGTTTGCACATCTCAATCTGTGGAGGGAACACACAAACACCTTGAGACAAGCTCAGGATGAGTAAACCACAACCTAACTCAGATGGATTGGCCCAGAGGATTTACTCTGTCACAACCTTTGAGTGAGTCAGCTTTTAGGAATGGTGAATGTTATGACTATTATGAACAAACCCAAAAGGAAACATTACTCTGTTCTCCAGCATTCTACTATCTGCAGGTAGCTGTATCTTCTATCAGATGCTGCTCTCGGTGGCAAAACAGATGTTTCCCTCCTCTACGAAGGCATCGGTGACTTTTCAAATACTTCAGTTTCATATCTTGTTGCCATTTTTAAAATCTTGCTTTTGTGACCTTAAGCCCGATGAATACTTCTTTTTTACAATAAATCATTAAGTAATTAATTCATGGAAGTGATGACTCATCACTTCCTAAAATTAAGGACTTGGTGTCATTTTGTAAAACAAATTTCACTTAATGTGTTTCTTTATTCATTCAATAATGACATGAATACATCTGTTCTTACCTTGATCCATTGTTGTAGTGAACAACCACAGATCTTCCCACAATGCTATAGGGTCCAGTTAGTGGCATGTTGGGGTCATTGTAGATGGCATCAAAGTTATTTTGGTTAGTGAGCAACCCAAACTTCCCACTGATGTCTCCAATCTCATACTGATCGACGGTGCCCACTCCAGGTGAGGGGGACATTGACGTGTTCCAGGCTAGTGGGTTATAGTGACCCAGAATGTTAGCATTTGAGCAGGGGTCTACACTGCCAGCCCTCAAGGGCAAAATGTGGACATGGTAGCCTCCAGCCATGGAAGTCAGATTTGCTAAAGATACATTGATAGTTGTAGGGCCTTGAGGAACAGCTTGAGAGAATCGCACCTGACCACTGGACGCTCCTGGACCAAACCAAGAACTTAAACCAGCAGCGGGAACACGTACCAATGTAATATTGGCACAAGCAATTCTCGAGCTTCCCCTGTTTGCCTCATGGATGACCATAGAACGACCAATAATGCCTGATATGCTCAACCAGGAAGCAACATCTGTGAAAAAATGTTTTGCATCCACTGCTCCTACATTGGTATCAAGATTAATGGTGCCTTGTTTGTTGGCGAGGTCTCCAGCCTCACAGCATAAGGGACAGGAAGAATTACAATAGCTGGCGTAGGTGCCATCAGTTGTGTTGATGCTAAACGGGTTCCAGTGACCTCCTGTTGTGCCGCAACGCCCCGCATCACCGTCCGTCTCTGAGCTAATGGGAAAAACGTGAACATGCCAGTTGTGGTTTTGGGTTGGCGTTGTTGAGGGAACTCCATAAGACAGATCCATGAAGATGGAAACGTCAGATAGAGGGTGGTTAACCAGCTGGGTAAACCAGACGTTACCCACCACAAGGTCCTGAAATGTGGCCCTGCCTACATTCACCTCTCCAGGATAACCAATGCTGGCACAAATAAATCTTGCACCACCTATCTTGTGAATCACGACTGAACGACCAACAATGCTATTTGCTCCAAACAGAGGGAGGTTGAAGTCAATGAACATGTCATCAGTTGAATTTTTTCCTGCTAGAGACATGTGCTTGCTGCTGAGATCACCCATCTCATACTTGTCGTGGGTTGACCCAGACCCATTAGGGTATAGTGGGCTAGTTGTGTTGATTGCAAATGGATTCCAGTGACCGCCAACATTATCATTTGAGCAGAGGTCTGACCTGACTGAAGGAACAGGAAACAAATGGACATGGTAAGGGCCGACTTGGCCCTGTAAGTTTGTCAGATTCACATTGATCTGTGTTAGGTCAAATGGAGAGGCCTGTCTAAAGATGAAGGATCCTTTGACTCCTTGCATATTCATAACAGCTCTCACTTCCTTCGCAGGCACATCATATAACTGAGCACACTTATAACCTGACCCAATGTTCAGGAGAAGGAAACTAAATCTGGTGGTGGTGGTGAGGTCGATACGTGATTTCTGGGGAGGCAAAAGGGTTCCAGCATTTACGACCCCCAGGTTTATCAATGAGGAAGACGCCAAGTTTCCAAGAAGTGCACTACAGTTCACCATATCACTTGTGGTTCCAAAGATCGAGATATTGGTTTGTTGGAGGCTCACCTGACCAACTGTCGCTAAGTCAGCAAGAAGCCTGGGGTTGGTGTTGTTTACGTTAGAACGTATGTAGACATTACCTACGACAGACTCCGTAAACCTGGCCTGACGAGTCAAGAGGGTTTGACCTTGACTCACAACTGCACATACTTTAACACCATCACATTTCTGGAAAGACAGTGAGAGGTCATCTAGGTTTAATCTTTGCTCAAAGAGGTTTGACACATTGATGCTGGACGGTGAGGTAAGATTAGCCATAAAGGCATAGAAGGGGGAGCCAATGTTTACGTCAGAACACGGCTGAGCAAAGTGTCCATACATGAGCGGGAACACGCTGAGGGAGAAGTTAAGTTTATCACAGGATCCAACTCCAGATATGTTTACAGTGGCCATCTTGGAGGTGGAGTTAAACTGAACCTGCCCTCTGACCCCTCCCATGTTGAAAGGCGCCAGAAACTGGGCGTTGGAAATGGAAGCTGAAAAAGAAAACAAGGACAAGTCAGCCCATTGTTAACAATACCTGAAAAAGTAAAATGCTGTTAGAAAATGAAACCATTGTGTTTAGTTAACTCCAATATTGGTTAATAAATTCTCATGATGTCATTAAAACATTTTTTAGCATATAGTTATTTTTTTGCAAATGTAAAAGTTTTTGCTCTTATGATGAATAATACTGAATTGATAAAGGGTTCATGTTATTATTTTTATTTAAAGGGACTTTACGGAGTTTTGAATTTTTATGCTCGCGATTGCCCCCTCAGGCCAAAAGCATAACGGCAGCTTCATTAGTAGGCTCGTGCATGAGGCGCGCATGCTGTACGTGCACACTCAACGAAAATAACAGCTGAGACAGTCCCTTGTGTGTGTGTGTGTGTGTGTGTGTGTGTGTGTGTGTGTGTGTGTGTGTGTGTGTGTGTGTGTGTGTGTCCGGAGGACAGAGGACAGGAGAATGCGCAGCTAATTAATTAAATAATTTGGTTCTGTACCTTTCTCTTCAGCACAGCCGACAAAGGTTTATGATGGGTCAGTCTTCCTGCATGCTCAGATCATTCCCTTCCCTTGCTTGAAAAATTGTTCCAACATGAAAGTTGAACCCAGTTCTTTTTTATCTGTGAATTCAATGCCGTTCGGCGAGTCTCAAATAAAAATTTGGGCATCTAACTGTAAAAGATTATACCATTAATGTAAAAACGAAACTCTAAATAAACTATGTTCACATCAAGAATCAAACCCAGGTCTTCTGCACGAAAGTCTAAAGTCTTATTAGGCGAGCTAAAGCGCCTGTGTCAACCTTTCTATCTGTAACTTTTATTTCCCTGATCACAGCTGAAACAATGTTCAAAGAACGGTTCAGAGGGCTATGCCTGAGCGTGAACGCGCATGAAGCAGCCTGCTCGACCTGAGCATCTCTCTTTTTCTGTGATTTTACAGAAAAACAGGCAATCACAGTAAAAATGCCAGGGCTCATTCTACAGGACCAGGGCATTGCAGGAGAATGTATGAAGAAGACATTTATTATTTCTATACATGTTTTGGCTGTCAAACTTCCATAATACCCCTTTAAAAGTAATTAATACACTTGAATGACATACATTTGAATGTTTAAGCCATAAAAACTATTCATCCCTTAACCATTACCCTTTACCTTTGGGTGTTTGACACGCTGTATAGAACAGAGATTAGTAAGAATATTCCAATTTAAATTATATGGCAATAAATTCTGCCAGCAAATATTTGTTAGAAAAATAAATTTAATAATATGTTATTTCTTGTTGATTCTTAGTATTGTTTTTACTTCTTCAGTGAACTGAGAAATGCTTCTCAGCTCTTTAGAAGGGAAGTTCTGTGAAAAGGCTTATGAGTACCGTATTTTCTGGACTATAAGCCGCTACTTTTTCTCACGCTTTGAACCATGCAGCTTATAATGAGGTGCGGCTTTAGTCAACCAGAAAGGATGGATGCTGGAAAGTCTAATGAAGGAATGGTTAAAGGAGTACTACGGAAAGCGTCCAGGAGGATTTTTTTCACATTAAAATGGTGCTGCTTGTTTTCCCAGCTTCACCCCGGGATGATGACAGCAACATGGGGAGCGACTCTGACATCGCCACAGAAAAGGTATGTGATGAAGCTCTTCTGAGGCTGTTCAACTCCGACACTGAAGAAAATGACTTCAGTGGTTTCAGTGCGCAGGAGGACGATGAATAAACTAATCAATTACTTTTCTGTTTTGTTTGATACTGATCAGTTCAGTTACGTTCAGTTAAACTACGTTTTCAATTCTGTAGATATGTATATTGAGGTGCGCTCTATAGTCCAGAAATTATGGTAATTATTAACAAGTAACTTCTTTACTAGTTCTGGTAAAAATGGTTCCAGGTAAGGGATTGATTTAGCATACAGAGCAAAACATTTGCAGTGCATCATCTGTAAAATCAGAACTAAATATTTTCAGGCCTTCATAGTTTTACAACCACTAAATTCAAAAGGACAAACATTTGACACCAACACAGCAAAAGCAACTGAGCCAAATTGTCAACATGCATTTAACCGAAATGATTAAAAAACAGACACCAGCTTGTTCAGCTTGTTCCTGAACATCTGCAAGCAAAACGTTCAAGTATCATTGAGAAGCTTCTGAAGCTGCACTAAGAATAGCCTGACGTTACGCGTGCATTCAGCCTTAAAACACGAGCGCGGAACTTGGCAAAGTTGAAACTGAGCGCATAATTTAGAGAAGTGAATATACAGCGGGGCAAACAAGCGTTTAGGCAGCCTGTGCACATTCTCCAACTTAAAAAGATGAGAGAGACCTGTAATTTTCATCATAGGTATACCTCAACCATGTGAGACAAGTTGAGAAAAAAATCCAGAAAATCACATAGTCTAATTTTTTTATTACTTATTTACAAATTTTGGTGGAAAATATGTATTTAGTCAATAACAAAATTCCATCTCAATGCTTTATTATTTACACTTTAATGCAGGAATTTGAGAAATATTACTTTAATTTATAATTGTAGCGTCATGAATGTCCTGTTTTTGACCTAAAGGTCATGATCTGCTGCGTCTGCTCGAGCAGAGACATAAAGTCTCTGACACAGGCCTAATCTACATGAGATACTGGCCAAGGTCTTTCATGCACTCTGCTCATCTGAACTGCTTCACCTCTGTTACAGCTCAAGACGAAGACGAAGAACTATTTTGATAAATACATAATCAAACAACGTTAGTTATTACCAATAATAATGTGAGCCCAATGTTCAATCAATCTGTGAAATGACAATGTTACTACTTGATATTATAATTCTGTGATCAGTAGTATTTTACAAGTAATTATAATCCCGGACATTTGCACTAGACACTGATGAAACGTAATGCTAAAGTCACACGACACATTTCCTTTCGTCTGATCCAATCAGAACCTTCGTTTCTGATGCGAGGCGTGGTTTTCTGTGGTGTTTGTATAAACCCTCTTTTGCATGTCAAATTCTGATTCGCCAGTAAACCAAAATATGACAATTATAAAAACTATTCCACGCCACCTTTTCTTTAGTTCAAAGCGTTCTAGAGAAGTCTCGGACAGGCCATCCGGACTTCCCCATCAGCCAAAAAGAACCTCGACGAGCTGGATAAAATCTGTTGCAAGTGACACCTGACCGCAATGGTTCCTTCAGAATAAAAGCAGAACCTCACGACCCCTTCAGGGTCTCGCTGACGCCAATGATAACCTGTCGTGACCTGGAAGAATTCCAAGACTAATTTGGTCGGCACCGCTGCTTTTCTACTGGCTTCGGTTCCAAGGAGGCTCCAAGAGGACCTCAACATTCTGGATCTAAACGGAGGCTTGCCCTGGGTACATAGACCAACAGATGGCGTCTCATGTGTGTTATAAATCTCCAACTATAGTTTAGAGCAAAACATTCACTCCCACTCAGAACTAAATGCTTCTCCGGATCCGCTGGTTCTGATAGCAACATTCCACACATACACCATCATCTCACATCTCATTCCACCTTAGTTCCATCAGTCCACCGAGTGTTTAAAGTTAGTCTTGTTTAAATTGTGTAGAAATACATTTCTAAACTATTATAAACCTGACTCTCTTTCTTTCCTCTGAGTTAATACAAAGTGTTGCTTAATCCCTGCAATAAAAAGTTCCGATCTTCTGGTTAAAATATTCAAAGGTCCATCAGATTGATATTTCATATTTCTATGGAATCTCACATGTTATGGTTCATAAGTAAGATGTAAATTACCCATCATTACATTATTAATTCTTTGTAAACATAAAAAAAGATCTTCCACACAGTGAATTAAAACGAGTGATATGATATAAATGTGTACAGATACAAATAAAAACATGCATATTGTTTGAGGGTTTGCATTAATGAAGCAACTTCCATGGTGTTTACTGGTTAATTTGCTGTGTTTTAAATTCACCTTCACAGTAAAAGATAAAAAATATGCTCACAAATATCAAACATCCCCACTCAATGCCAATTCTAAATACATGATCACAAAATAAAAACCTTCTTAATGCCGTTTTGTCTTTGTTTGTTTGTTGACTTTTGTTATTTTATGCAATCTCGTTGGAATGTTGCAAAAACCAAATTGTGCAATTAAAATATCTTTGAATCTGTAATGGGCTGTGCTGAGCTAACCTCTCTCTGGGCTGAGTCTTTCTGTTTGCAGGTGGGCGTGTCCCGGAGAGCAGCTGCTGTGAATCTTCTCATCAGAGGTCAGGGGATTTAAGGAGACAACCCATCAGTGCCGGATGATTACTCAGTATTGGTAGTATCTCGCATGCACTCTGCCTGTCTCTGACTTGTTGTCTCCTATGTTCCCTGCTTGCCTCGTACTTACCTGCCCTGTCCCCCCCCCCCCCCCCCCCCCCCAGGTACCTCTCGTTCATTTGACTGCACTCCTCTTCAAGAAAGAAGCTCCCAGAATCACCCTGCCTGCCAGCCACGCCGCTCACCCTGACCGCCTGCTCTCCAACGCTCACCTGCCTTGCTCGGATACTTTGGATTCCTGCACTCAGCTCCCAGCCATCATCTCTGCCCCCCACAACCATCTCGCTCAGCCAGACCTGACTCGCCCTCCTCTCAAGCTCCCCAAACGCTCTGGAAACCATAAGCCTCCTCTCACCCCGTTTATTTGTATTTTCCTGCAACTACTCATCATTGTCTCTGCTACAGAATGCTATTGGACCCTCCCGAGCCCCAGACCTTCACCTGCACTTCTACCAAATGAAATAAATACTTTTTTTACTTACCTTTGCCTCCGTGGTGATTCTACACGTCGTGGGTCAAAAAAACTACACCCCAACATGACAGAATCTAACTTAGATCAACAACTTTTGTAAGACCAAGTTGCAATCATGAGTGAGCAGGATACACGGCATTATCAGGTACAATTAAGTTATTAGCCCTTTAAAATGCTGTGTGTTATTTGGCTCTTACAAAAATCTACTTTGACTATTCTTAATCTGTTGATCTAAAAACAATGATTGCCTCATGGAACAGAGCTGCAGGGAAGTCATCTACTTTTGTAACACCTGGGGTAGGTGAAGGTTTGCGGTGCTTTTTGTATGCATCTGATCATAAATAAGACCAGTTTCCATTCCTGATAAAATCTCAGAGAGGGAACTTTCGGTTCTGTGCCATGAAGTAGCCTGCATGACATTTAAAATGAGAGAACAGTGAAAATGCTCCCTTCACAGCAATTCCACTTGTCATTTTTAAGGATTAGACTAAATTAAAGTGTAAGCAAGATGAAAATGAAACTATTGAACGACAGAGCTGGTCAAACATTACAAACACTTCTCATCAGCTTTAAACCAGACGTTTTTGTGCCTTTTTTGTCAGGAAAAGAATAATTTGGAGCTACTGAGACATTAAACCTTCCACTTTCCTGTCTGAGGCACATAATCCAAACCTACACAAATGCACGGATCAGGACATGTAAACTATCTGGAAAAAGATTAAAAACTACTCACCAACTGACAGAAACAGCAGGGAAGCAATAAAAAGGCCCATTTTGGCAAATAGGTGCAAAGTGCAGAGCAAACTGAAATTTCTGACTAAAAACCTGAGCTTCCCTGCAGATCAAGAGTTCAGATTAGATAAAAACAAAAACAAATGGGTCTTTTTTTTTAAAGACTAATGAGTAAAAACACTGATGTTGAAGCTGTTTCTGTGCCTGAGTGTGCTCTCTGCAAACGTGTCACCTATGAGTGGTTTTTAAGCTGTGTGCAGCCTCCGTTTTTCTTGTTTTTTTTCTCCTCCAGCTGCCTGTGATTGGCTGCTGAGGTTACTCAGCCTCATGAGTGGAGGCAGGGAGGGGAAAAAAGAGACAGCATGCCCGAATGGTTGGGCATGGCTGGTTTCCACTCCGTTCAGGTAAAAATAGAAGTAGGAAATAAAAACACTGTTCATGTGCTTAATTAAAAATAAAAACGTCTGATTGTCCTATGTGATGCTGTTTAGAGGAATGATTGGGGCATTGCCGGAAATAAACAGTTGATAAGTTGACAGCAAAGTCATCTTCAGGCTTTTAAAGGTGCACATTGCAAAATAAAAGTAGTTCATCAATGAGTAGAGTTGCAGATCCCTCTCACAGGAACAACCCTTTCTAACACCATCCCATCCTCCCATCCCCAGCTTGTTTAGCGCAACTCAAATCTGGGGGAAGCAATCCCTTTCCACATACCCACAAGGGAATCCCTTAACGTCCTGCTACCAGACACTTCAGGACCCCCACAGGTTTTCTCTGTCCATGCCCAGTCACTGAGATGAATAGAAACTGGAAAAAGAACAAAAGACAGCTCACAGCTTTCTAAACAAAAAAACAAACACCCCTTTATTTTGGATGGTTCTGCTACAAATTTTAGGTCCATCCTCCATTGCGAATCCAAATTCAACAATGTCTTAAAAAAATAAAGACACTGAAAAGGCTGCAGCATTACTGTGTGGGTTTCATCCTCACACGCTCCCACTGTGTTCAGGTGCTTGGTTAAAAATCAACAAGGCAGCGACTAGCAGTGGACTACAGTTTCAGAGAAGAAAGCAGACTTTATGACCTCCCTGCTCTTTTTGTTCTGCCTTGTAAGACTTGTTGTAAAATCAGGTCTTCTTTGTCTAGAACAGTAGCTTCAACTTAAAAGACCACCAAGCTGCTCAGTAACATTCCTAAGAGATTTCCGGGTCAGGCTAGAGGCCTAGTGTGACCCCGGGCTCCTTTTGCCAAGAAATACCTTGGAGGCATCTTGATTACATGCTTGAAGCATCATGGCTAACTCTCGTCAACATGGAGGGGCAGCAGCTTCACAGAGAGTCCTACCTGCACATCCAGCGTAAGGAGATAATGTTGGTGCAGTCATGTCAAACTCAAGGCCTCAATTCAGCTCATATTACGCTTTTATCTGATTCCAAGGTTATTCACTGTTGGTGGGTTGTTTTATGATTAGATTAAATAAGATTATATTTGTGTGTGTGTGTGTGTGTGTGTGTGTGTGTGTGTGTGTGTGTGTGTGTGTGTGTGTGTGTGTGTGTGTGTGTGTGTGTGTGTGTGTGTGTGTGTGTGTGTGTTTGTGTGTGTGTGTGTGTGTGTGTGTGTGCGCGTGTGTGCGTGTGTGTGCTCGTGTGTAATACACATACTGCGATGATGAATTAAACATGTTTAGAACAAAAAATCTATACACAAACGTCTGAGATTAAACAAAAGTACACCATTAATCAAGTACTGAGTTCCTTCTTCAACGTTTACAAATGATTCAAACTACAGGTCCCAGAATGCACCAGAACAGCCAGAGTGTCAATGCAAGTAAAGCCTTGTAAAACCCAGTTGCAGCCCTCTCGCCATTCTGATGTTGTTTTCATTAGCCTCATGCTGAAGGCAGGAGTCCGATTCAGTCCAATGGAAAGAGCCGAAGCAACGGTGGGCGGTGACGACAGGTGGGTGGCAGAGTTTTCTTTTCACCGACATCACAAGGACTAAACCTGTTGGGGCTGCAAATAGAGCCTCTAACACTGTAACTGTGAAACAGAACACCAGGGCGAGTACAATGGTCTCAAAACACAGCAGAAACACAGAAATAGAAGGACATGGATCAAATCTCAAAGCAGATTTTTGTCCTCTCATGAAACGGACTGGCTCATCTATTGTTAGTGAAATGAAGAAAATATATCTAATTTCAGAGCAAACCAGACAATAATTTACTTGTAAATAAGTAATTGTTGCCGGAGCTGTCCTTATCTTACTTGAGTTTTGAGAACACATAGCAACAAAAAAGTATTATTATTTTAAATACCACTACTAATTCACTACTTCCAATACTTCAGCTAGTATCTATGCTGTTTCTGTGGGATTTGTACGATTAGAGAGCATCATTCATATGTCCCTCATGCTCTTTGGGCACTCTTTCGCATGTCAGTTTTGAGCATTTAAGGATCACGGGGTACGCAAACCTATCCACCACGTTAAGGTGGTGAGTCAGCGGATAGGATTTTAGCAGTTTTATAAATTTTTTTAATTGTAAACAACAACAACAGATTATTCAAACATCAATTTCCTGAAAGCGTAGGTCAGGGTACTCTTTGAAATTGTTTAAAAAATAAAATGTTGACCCAAGGGTGTTTTTGAGGTTTATAACCAACATTTTTCTAAATAATATTTATTATCAACAAAATTGCATGGGCACTGGTCCTGTTCTGGTAAAAACTAAATCCCAAAATAAGTATGAACATTAATTTAGAATAGTTTAGATAATTGTTAGACTTTTTAGAATATTCTAGCACACTTTAGAGTATTATATTAATTGGAGAATATTACAGAATGAACGAGAACCTCGTGATTTCAGGCCTCTATAAAACATGGCAAATATCTTGTGCCAGCAGGCAGGCCTCTTTTAAAATTTATTAATGGAATTTTCCATCTGTAATTATTAATTTTACCATCATTCTGAAGGTTATATCAATAAAACAACAGATTTTCCCTAAAAACATACATAATTCCTTCAACTTGTTCAGGGATGATCAAATATGGCAGCTACGATTTTCATGCTACGATTTCAGCAACTTCTTTGAGTTTAACACATTTATTCTTGTTTTGCACAACATGCAAGAAGGCAGCTTTTGAGTTTTGCAGACGTGGTACTCATTGCTGGCCCTAGAGGGCCAGTAGCAGCAGGTTTTCCTAGTTTCCCCACTCCAACACACCTAATTCAGTGGTTTTATCTCCTGTGCAGCAGCTCATCAAGCTCTTCAGAAGCCTTCTAATCACCTGCTGGTTGAAATCAGGTGTGTTGAAGCAGAGTTCAAACGAAACATGCTGGATACCGGCACTGCACTAACCCATGCTAGTGGCGCAACTTGTTTCTAGCTTGATCTCTGATGTCTGGTTGAGTAAAATCCCATAATTCTAGTCGATATTTATGATGTATGTGGAAGTGTCTAAGTATAGACAATCTAATTCTAAAAAACATTTTGGCCCCATCTGGCCACCCTTATCAAAGATTTCTGGAGGCGCCCCTGCACACTCATGGGTTGTTGAATACTTGGAGCTGCACAACATCAACAGGAGTCTGAGCCTTCATTGCAAACTGAGGCCCAATCCCAATACTCACACTTGCACCCTTGTGCCCTTCATTTGTGCGTTCCCGGCCCGGGGTGCAAGTGCATAGAGCGTACCGATTCTCAAAGTTGGCCACGCCTCCATTGCACCCTTAATCTGCACTTCACCCAAGTCCGCAGTGATGCGGACCTCGGGCAAGGGTGTTACCCACAAGTCATTGCTGCGGGAGAAAAGGCTCAAGTTCCTTTTCTGAAAATATGTATTTTCTAATGAAATTAGTTGATGCTCTAAAACTTTTAGACAAAGCAGCAATACATGAAAATTTATTTCAAATAACTGTTTGACTGTTTGTTTAAAAGTTGTTAATAAAGGTTTTTGAAATAAGTGTCACAGCGACCAGCATCCCAGCATGCGTTGCGAACGATGAAGCGGTGCTCCCTGTCTCAATTATGCAATTATTTGCACACTTGCACTCTAACCCTACTGCACACTTTCTCCAAGTGTACTTTGCTGAAGTCGGCAGGGCGCAGTGTGAGTACTGAGATTGGGCCTGAATAGGGCTAAAGAAAACCACCCTTGAGGCCAATTGTACAAGTATCCATCAAATGTGGCATATACCAAGGATACACCCTGTCCCCACTACTGTTCTGCATAGGTCTGAACCCCCTCAGCAAAATAATCTAGACTGGCTATGGATACCAACTCTAGAATTGAACCAAAGTCAGCCACCTCTTCTACATGGATGACATAAAGCTGTAAGCCAAGAGCGAGCGAGACATCGACTCACTGATCCACACCACCAGGATCTGCACCACTGACATCGGAATGTCATTCGGACTTGAGAAGTGTGATCGGATGGTGACAAAGAAAGGGAAGACAGTCCGCACAGAAGGGATCTCCCTCCCAGAAGGAACAATAGCAGACATCGAGGACAGCTACAAGTACCTTGGTATCCCACTAGCAAATGGCAACCTCGAAGAAGCCGCAAGGAAAGGAGCCACAGCCAAATGACCTAAGAGTAAGGCAAGTCCTAAGAAGTCAGCTCAATGACAAGAGCAAGATCTGGGCAATAAACAGCTCCTCCCTGCCAGTAATCAGATATCCTGCAGGAATATTAAGCTAGCCAAAGGAAGAAATACAGACCACAGATGTTAAGACAAGGAAGCTCCTAACCATGCATGGAGGGTTCCATCCCAAATCCAGCACCCTGAAGCTGTACACTAGCCGTAAGGAAGGAGGCCGAGGGCTATTGAGTGTGAGAGCCACTGTCCAGGATGAAACATCCAAGATCCATAAGAGCATCACCGTTAAACTTGATGGAGTGATTACTGACACGGTGGAAGCATTAGCTAATAAATGGACAACTAATTAGATAACATTACTTTGATAACTATAAACTCTTAGATAATAAGTCAAACTTCTCCTTTAAGTATAAATTTCTGGAAGCACATGGAGACCTGCAGTAGGTTCCACCCAAGTTCCTCCCACTGACGCTAGAATCGAGACAAAAAGATCTGTAACACTGTAGGATTTGAGGTTTGTACCTGTAGAATGCAATGTGTGTTTTGAGAGTTTTGATTTCAAACTTGTACCTTGATTTTTTCAATTTGGAAGTCTGCTAGTTACAAAACGAAAGTTTCATGTTTCTGAATGAATGCTTGATGTTACAAAATGAGTAGTAAATGTACAAAATAAAAGTTTGATTTTACAAAATAAAAAATACATGCACAAAATACAATGTTCCTGTTACAAAACAAGAAATACAAGTACGAATTGAGAATTACAAGTTAGAAAACTAAAGTTACAAGTTACGAATCCAAAGTTACAAGTTACGAATCCAAAGTTACATGTGATGAAACATGTTCGAAGTTACAAAACTTGGTACAAGTTACGCTGAATATTGTCCCAATCCTAGTTCCATAAGTGGCCGGCCACCATCTTGGATGGGTCTATTCACCCCCCAGTGCATAAATTTTTACTGAGGAAGGCACTTACTGAGTCAAAAAACACATTTTCTTGTGCTTTTTCACAAAATCAGACACATGGTATGACATGCTAGTTAAAATATAAATATAATGACATACAATAAAGAACATTAATTAAAATATAAAATCCTAACAGGTAGGCTAGAAAAGTCCCACATAGTTGCCCACTCTGCGTTGACTCCAGTTGGGTTTTTGAGAGTGAGGAACCCATCCAATATGGCAATGATGCTGTCACGCTCTCCAGTACCTAGTGAGGCATCTATGTATTCATGTCTATCTCAACAATGCTTCACCCTCTCCAACACATACCCTGCCTGGCCAAAAGCAAGCCACTGCCTGGATTTCACAGCAAAGAGGTACAAAAATTCCAAATGGGCATTTACTAAATAAATATGTCTGACAAAACGTTGTTTAATCTTTAACAACCACGAGAAAAGATGTTAATATTTTACCCTCACTGGCACGCATCAATCAGAGAGAACAGCTAAGGGGACAGCAGAAATGACTAAAACAGGTTAATAAATGTCCAACACCACTAAAATCAGGAAGGAAAATGGGGAACCATTGTCTT